ACAGCATTTACAACTTTGGAGGATACTTTTTACTATGAGGTGAATGTGGAAGTGCAAGTTTCAGCATGGGCCAAAAGTGTGTTTCAATATCCGCACAGTTCAGAAATGTAACGTTCCCTTCAGGATGCTGAATGGGCCAGGAAGAACCACAAATCTGTGACCTGGGGGCAACACCAACTCTGTCTCATTTAGTACTGCCTTTAAAAACTACTCCTAGATTGTAGCAATTGTGGAACACAGCAGCATGAGTGATCAAGGGCCTTTGCTTGTAAGTGAGTGGATGTTAGCTCTCTCTACATTGCACTTGCTTATGGTTATGCAGTAAGTGAATGTCCTACTCTCACTATTGGTATATAAAATCTTAAATAATATATTCTAAGTCCACTCTGCAATTGTCATAGATGGGTGCTAGGCTGTGTGCATTCTGGTTATTTCAGTATATGTATAGTTCTTTGCCAACATTAAATAAGTAATCATTGTACTTCTGTCTGTGGTGGATGAGTTTTACATATATCATGTTGGCTGTATGGTAGAGAATTACAGCAGCTGGCAGAGAGGGAGCTTGCAATGAATTTAGTGCTAGCACCAGCCTGGGTGACGCAAACTAATTTGGGGTCCTCTTAAAAACCTTGAAATCATTGGCCATAAGAACGGCCATACTGGGTCAGACCAAAGGTCCATCTAGCCCAGTATCCTGTCTTCCGACAGTGGCCAATGCCAGGTGCCCCAGAGGGAATGAACAGAACAGCTAATCAAGTGATCCATCCCCTGTCGCCCATTCCAAGGTTCAGGCAAACAGAAGCTAGGGACACCATCCTAGCCGATCCTGGCTAATAGCCATTGATGGACCTATCCTCCATGAACTTATCTAGTTCTTTTTTGAACTAGGGTTTTCATGATCCACAAAGGCCATCTCTGATCTTTAGGAAAAATTGGCGACCATCTTTCACAGCTAGCAACTAGTTTATATTGATTTATATTTTCAAGCCTGTCTTTGCAAGAGGAAGAAGGCTAAACATTTTCTTTCTTTTTTTTTTTTTAATGATAGATTTTCCTTTATATTCTTGGTCCTCAAAAATAAAGACCTGTGGTTGAGGGCCTTGTGGAGCTCAAAGACAGTGTTAGGAAGTTTACCCCTTAGAATTCACAGGATAATAGTGAGATGATAATAAAAGCGACACTGATTGGTTTTCTAAACACCCATATAGCATTTAAGATCTTTTTTGAGTATTACCAACAAATGTAATGCATTATTTACATCAGGTTTGGATGCTGCTGCGTGACAGAATAAGAAATGAATATATCAAGACAGAATTGGTGCTTCTAAAGTATACAGCGACTTGTAGGAAAGATTTATTTCTGGAGGTACATTAAGATTCTGTAAAGTAAACTACTGAATATATGTTGGAGAAAGTGAAAACTGGTCACTGATGCCTTGATCCTGCACAGACTTGCGTACAGACATAATTATATGCATGTGAGTAGTCTCATTGATTTCAAATGGATTACTCACAGATGTAAAGTTGAGCATATGCATAAGACTTTCTTGGACTAGTATGTGGAAATAGAAACATAAATCCTATCATGATACTTGGAGATGCTGGTCAATTAATTAAATTCTGCCTCAATTAAACTACTTATTTAGGTGAACTTATTTGATGTACCATGTGAAATTTTTTTCTCCATGGCAGGTTACTTGTACAGTATCATGATTTTCAAATTTATTCTGAAATTCCACATTGATTCTACATTTCTATAAAGTTCCTAACTGTCAGGGTGGTTAAACATTGGAATAAACTGCCTAGGGAGGTTGTGGAATCTCCATCTCTGGAGATATTTAAGAGTAGGTTAGATAAATGTCTATCAGGGATGGTCTAGACAGTATTTGGTCCTGCCATGAGGGCAGGGGACTGGACTCGATGACCTCTCGAGGTCCCTTCCAGTCCTAGAGTCTGTGAATCTATGTGGTTCATTTTTAAGCACAAGAAAGGCAATTTTACATTTGAATTCTAGATTCTGATTTATTCCATTATTGGGTTTCTTGTGCCTTCCTCTAAGCAGCTGGTACTGGCCACTGTAGGGGAAGTGAATACTGAATTAGATGAAACTCTTCTCTGATCCATTACAGCAACTATGGTATTCTTTTCAAAAACCTCTGATGCAGAAAAGAGAGAGAGAGAGAGTGCACATCTCCTCATTCAGAACTTTTGATTTTGCTGGTTTTTGGAAGGTTCTATTGGTTGAGGGGCTTCAGCGTTGGAAAAGGATATTGAGATCCATTCAGCATTAGGAGCTCTAAGAGCAGTGAAAGTACTACATGATGTTCTGAACTCCTGAGAAAAGTCTAGCACAGGGTGACCAAAGTCTCAATTTGTTAGGAAGCATAAATATTGGATAGCCCATGTACTAACTATAGTAAATTTTATCTAGTATATTTTTTAAGTGAGCCTCATTTGAAGTGTAAAACATTAAGGACAACATTTTTGAAAACCATTAAATTTAAGGGCCAAATTCTACACCAATGTACATCCTAGGAAAATAGGATTCTACTGGGTTAAGTGAGCAACTAATTTGGGCCTAAATGTTTGTTTCATTGGTATGTTGTGTCAATCATTCCATCTCTTAGGATCTGTATTCATATTTGGGGAGGCATGCGAGCAGCAATTCATCCTGTGTCCACTGAAAAGCATTTTAGTAATTAATTTAGAGTGCTGTGACAGTTGGTGAGCTTAGTAGGAGCACAGCTGATCAACTTGAAAGTATCAGCAGTTGAACTTAGCCAAAAAGCCCTCTGTGACAACAGATACTTATGGAGTTTAAAACTTTTAAGGAACTTGCAGAGCAGTATTTCCTTATCTCTCTTCCTTGTTCAAAGTAAGAAATGTCAGGACAAAGAATTCACACGAGGACTTGACCCTGTAGCAATTGAATTGGAATGCTGTGGATGAGAGAATCAACTGTACTAGAATATTAATCTGTCCTGCTGGAACACAAATCACAGCTCTGTTTCCCTCCCCTCTGAAATTCTGAATCAATATTGGAGAATAGGCAATCCTAAAGTCCCTCCCAGTTTATTTCATTTTGTTTAAAGCCCCACAATGTTATTAAAAGGGACACTTGCGACCGGTTTTGAAGGTCACGGTAGCATATGACCAAGAATTAATATGATTAACACATGCACATTAGTAATTAGACGATACAGGAAACCGAGATTTGAGGCTGTTGGGGTTTTTAAAGCTGTAAGCTCCTACATCTCAGTTAAATGATGATTTTCACTCTACAGATTCTGGTTAATACTGTATTCTTCCTGTCATCTTCTCCCAAATTATAAGATGCTGGGCACAACTGTTAGCAGCACCACCTGCTGAGCAGCTTGAGCCATAGCGTGGACTTGGCTATGGTAGGGAAAAAATAAGCCTAGTACTTCTTGGCTTGAGAAGCCTTCTAGAAACTATTAAAAGGAAGGAGAGTGTATTGTTTTGCTTTTATAAGGCAAAACATATTTAGCCTGTCACAGTCCAGGAAACTTGATTATGCACTTGTGAACAACTCAATGCAAAAATGGCTTAGTAAAAAAAAACAAGGCTGCAGTCAAGATCACTAAAATGTAGGAAATGCAAACATTAAAGGTCCTAGAGCAATATTAATTCTGCTGTTTTCCTCTTCCTATATTTATCGTATATATTTAATGACACAAACAATAACTAACTAAGGTACTCATTTTGACAAGAAAATCAGGGGTATAACACACGGTTACAACTCAGATGAGTTAATATTGTTAGAACCTTTCTATCTTCATTTGCTGATTTTTGTGAATTTTAAACAGTGCAGTCAACAGAGCTTGCAAGCTTTTTTTGCTCTGGAGTTATTGGGGTAGTTGTGCCAGGTTCATGATGGAGCTTGTAAGCTCTTTGAACTAATTCGTTCCATAACGCACAGAGGTTGAGGGATGGGGGGAGAGTTTACAGGTAGTTATATGTGGGGTTGAGGTTTTGTGGATGGCTTTGGCAGCTGTGGTGAGAGTTTGGATCAGGACTTTTGTCATAGAATGAAACGATTTGACAGCTGAAGGAGTCAGTAGGTGTGGATGAATGTTTCTGGCCCACCCAAATGAAAGGAGCAGAACATCTTGGCTTCTCTGATGTATGTAGGACCAGATGTACAGTTCAGTCCTGCATTTCCTGGGAGACATGGAGGGGTGGTGAGAAGTGTAGTAAGAATTCATCCTGTGATACCTGTGGTAAAGGCATAAGTGTTCTCTGTGAAACATTAAGTTACACTTCTACCAACTGTTCTGCATGTTACCATTTGTGCAGAGATGGGTGATAAGATTCTGCTTTTATTGAAGTTACAAGTATTACATGCACAACATTCTCTCTCATTCTTTCCCCATTTTATATTTTATGGTTCCCTAACAAGTTTTTGGAATGGTGCGTATACTTTCTAGAGACATTTTTTTCTCGTGCTTGAACAATGGCTATAGAAATATCACATCATCTCTGCTGGTTTGTATGTATTTTGTAGTGGTTAACTTCATTACTTCAATAATTACTTACAGTGACATTAATTTAACCCTTAACTCTAGTAGAGTGTCTGAGCCCATTAGAATTAACGTGTCAATTTGAAAGATTTGTATTGCAGACTAAAAGTAATAGTGCTTATTTCACTTAAAACCATTGTAACTGTGTGAAAAGTCTATTTTGGAAGGAGTTGATGATGATGTGAATTTTAGGTATTTAACTGAAATTCCTTTTAGGCTTTTTTTTTTTTTTTTTTTTTATAGCCACAAGTAATGAAAGTTCACTTTTTTTTTTATAAATCTGAAACTCCCTTGGACTTAAGTGGGACTTAAGAATACTGAATTCAGCTGAAACAGAAGAAAAGGATGATTAAATTACATGATACAGAAGCATTTTATGATGGCTAACATTAGATAAATCAGTATTTGCAGTGTAGCATCTCTTTGACATGTCATTAAACACTTCCGTTTTTTGTTACAGATTTCTACTGGTGCTGATTTGTTTAATTTTCAGTGTACTCTCTACTATAGAACATTATTCAGAATTCGCCACGGGGACCCTTTTCTGGATGGTAAGTGTACTCCTTTTTTTGTAAAATATAATTGTTTATTTTGGTGACAAAACGATGGTTGTTCTTTTTGTAAGCTGAAAAACAAGGAAAGGAAATAGAGAAATCTATTGGCAGTCCATTAGCAAGACAAGGGAATTTAAAATACTAGCTGCTGCTTCTTATGGAAAAGTAATATAGAACGTAAGGATGAAATAAAGGTCTTTAGAAATTATTCTATAAATCTACAAAATCTGAGTATTCATAGTGTAGCAGTGTTCATTTTTTAAGTCCAGAAAAAACTAGGATGATCATCTAGTCTGACTAGCATAAGCCCAAACACAAAATTTCACCTAGTGATTCCTCTTTTGAGCCCATAACTTTTGAGCTAAAACATATCAAGGTATTCAGTGTTTAATGGGGTGTCCTACCTCCAGGAAAATACTATTTATTACATACTTTTTTGCACCTGAAAGTGCAAATTGCTAAATGATTATGATCTTCAGAAATATTTGAGTCTCAGTGGTAAGCATTCTCTGCCACAGTGATTTAGTAGTATCTAGGTTGAGCACGAAACTCTACCAGAGACAGAGAAATCACACCAATGCCTCTCATAGTTTAATGGCAGAATTTTAACAGCGAATACTACAAGCCTATTCCACACTTCTCCCATGTGTCACTGCTGTCCTTTTCAGATTTTAGGCCAAATAAATTTTGACCTGTCAGGATTTATGACTGTTACTAATCTACTAATATCTCAGGCTTTTCTTGGGGAACTTATCAAACAGCATACTTAGTATTTTGCAAAAGGACATTGTCAATAGGGGATGACAATTAGATCTTGCTGTGGTGAGGAACATCTGTCCATTTGGAATTGGATTGAGGTCACTAACTCATTTCACAATGGCCACTGAACGACACTCAGATGGAAATAGTGTTCAGTTACCACCAGTCCTAGGCTAGCTTTGAATTACTGATATTCAGATGAGAGGTTACTGAACACCAAAGCATACAGTGCCCCTTAGTTTTATAAACACAAGGTGACTAGCATGTGCACAGCAATTACTGCAAAAAGTTGTTACAATATGTATGATTTTGAACGATGTTATTTTTGAAACTGGTGGGAAGTAAAATGGGGGAAAGTGTGTGTGTGTGTGTATTCCAGAGAATGCCCCTTATCATGTCACCTAAAGAAAAGTTAATAATGGGAATGTTTGATGAAGCAGCCTTTACTGAAGTGATGTGAAGTGCACCATGATAATACATAACATCTAAATCAGTGGTTTTCAACCTGTGGTCCGTAGGCCCTGGGGGTCTGCAGACTATGCCTTAGATTTCCAAAGAGGTCTATACCTTCATTTGAAAATGTTTAGGGGTCTGTAAATGGAAAAAAAAGGTTGAAAATTACTGGTGTAAATGTATAGCAACTCAGATCACAGAATCATGGAAGATTGGGGTTGGAAGAGACCTCAGGAGGTCATCTAGTCCAACCCCCTGCTTAAAGCAGGACCAACCCCAACTAAATCATCCCAGCCAGGGCTTTGCCCCATTCCCAGTGCTTCACCACCCTCCTAGTGAAATAGATTTTCCTAATATCCAACCTAGATCTGCTGAGCTCAGTGTGTAACATCACAACAGCTATTTTGATTTTTTTTTTAAATGGTGATTTCCTAATGTGATGGATTTTTGCTTTACAGCTGGCTTGAGAATCAAAGCTAGGTACCCATTTACTTCACTGGAGCTTAAACTTCATTAGTGCATGCAGACTTCACATGTGATTGACTAAAACCATCATTAGGTTCACAGGGTTATTTTTAAGCATTTGTCTAATGATAATGCTGTAGCAAATGTTGCTTGGCTTTACTCAGAGTCAAACAAAGTGCAGTTTTGTTGGTCATGTGCAAGTCTCTAAAACCCTTATAAATAGATACTGTAATGGTAAGTTATATTGAGTCAGAACCTGACATAGTGATACTGAGCGATAGTCAGTGTTGACCTCTGTTCTTATACTGGTTACGTGTGTGTATGTGTGTATATATAATATTTTTAGTGAATCTAGTGGTTGTTGAAAAACTGCCAGATTAACATTCCTAGCGACTTCAAGTCCTGTGGGTCCCCCCCCCCCCACCAAATGGGTACAGCATGGGCAGTGACAGTACTAAGACAGTCTCTATGTCAGTCTGTCAAAGTGTTGCAACCCTGAGCTGAAAGGTCCATCTTTCTGGGACATGAGTAGTGTCACTTCCATGCCATTGAATCCTTAGCTTCCCTGCTTAATTCACCAGACAAAAAGGCTAGTTGTGATATTGGCTATTTATATGGCTACTTGTGCAGAAGGGTAGCAGATCGCTGTCTTTCTAAAGATGAGACCGCATACTGTAGCTAGCACTGGAGAAGATTCATTTAACTGTAACTTGTGGAAGGTTGTGTTGTGCTCTACATTGAGAGTGAGCTAAATGACGTTAGAGCATACTTTTGGTGTCTTCCTGTTCAAGGTCTGCATTTAGTTCTACTGAAGTAGCCCTTACTAAGTTGTAATCTAACTTCAAAGTTGTAAAACTTACCATTTCCAAGTTGGTGACACCTGACAATGGGAATTCTATACAACACACATTCAGACCCGAATGTGGCTTCCTTTTGAGGGGTTAAGATGATGGCCGAAATTCAACATCATTATTCTTAATGGAATTTTACCAGGGACAAATTTGGTCCATTATGCATAGCACTTAGTGCTTATGCATTAATGGATATTTTAACATTATCCCTGCCTTTTCGAAGCTTATAAAAAGAATAGTAAAAACCCATTAAGCAATAAAACTCATCATTCTATTCTCTTGATATGTGAAATCCATTGGCATTAAGGCAAATTATGTACATGTGTCAAGGGGAGAATACAACACTACTACATCTTTTAAAAGGAAAGTTTTTGTGAAGGGGGGCTAAAGAGGCATCTGAGAGGCACTAAAATTGTCAGAGGTTTCAAGTAAAAGCAGCTGAAACAATTTTAACCTAATTCTGGGGGGAAATAATGTTCCTGTGCTTATGACACTTGTGTCAAATTGCTCTTAAAGCAAGTCTTCAAAGTTGAATGTAAAGTTATATCCTCAAAGATGACGGGGATATATCAGAAAAAACTATTGCTGAGTTTTAAATCATTTCATCACTCAAGTTGATTGGCACGGCTCACAGAATGTAGTAATAGCTCTACTTGTAGTGTTTGCTTGGCCTTGGAGTGAATTCCTGCTCTCTGGTAGTCAGGAAAAGACAGGCACATGCCATAATTTTCAATCTGATTAACAATGTATTAACTTCACTTCTGTGGTTTTGGGACTGGTGAGATTGCTTGTCTTGAGCTCCCGTTTGCTGCCAGCTGAGGGAGATGTGTGCCCTCTCTTTTAAAAGGAGCTCTTTTCTAAACAACAAATATGATGCATATTTATGTTGCTTAGCTGTTATGAGCTTGTTGCCAGCTCCTCTGCTTGATGAGATAATTTAGTTTGTGGTCATGCTATGCAAGATAAATTGTAGGATATTAGCTGTTGATTCTTTGCCCTACTCTGGCTATTTAGCAAGCCAGAACACAAGGGCAGTGACATCAGAGCAATTTAATGTTCTTGGTGAACAGAAAAGGAATGTAGAATTCATGAGTGAACTTCAAAAAGTGTTAGTCAGGTTTTTTTAGATAAGCAACTGGACTTTTGGGTGCTTATCCAAATTCTCTGGACCTCTTGAACCTACAAAATCAAGCTGGAAAACTCACAGGAGCAGTGTTTTTGGTGTGATTTCTATTTAATGCTTGTTTTGGGTCAGGCTTGGTACACTAAACCCAATTTTGGGTGGCTTGGATACCTTCGATAGTGGTCCTATCAAAAACATGGAAGCGCACTGGTCTACAAAAATGTAAAATAGGTGAGAGAAACAAAGCTAAATTTTTTCAACTCTGTGTAATAGTTTGGTTTAGCTTAGCTTTATGTTGTGGATGAATGATTTATTTGAGGAGTGGGTGGGGGAAGTGGGAAAGAAGGGGTTTGCACTTATCTGATCTCATTGGCCAATCCCTAACAGACACAATGAGACAATGATTCATTCACCCTATCAAGGAGACTAGTCACAATATGGCTGGCTTCAATGAGATTTGTACAGAAGCACTTGTAAAACTGAAATAGTACAGTTCCATATTTATCTCTTAAATTTCTTTGATTCACCAGATGACTTATGCCCACAGGGTATTTAGGCTGCTAGGTAAGAGATTGAAGTCCAGGACCTCTATGGTAGCATTCTGTGAAATGCTGCCAGTTAGAAAGGCAGAACTGTAGGGAGGAGGGGTTTAGATTTATTAGGAATTGGAGAAACCTTTGGGAAAGGAGGCGCCCATACAGGAAGGATGGGCTCCACCTAAACCAAAATGGAACCAGATTGCTGGCACTTACAATTAAAAAGGTCATAGAGCAGTTTTTAAACTAAGGGTTGGGGGAAAGCCGACAGGTGCAGAGGAGAACGTGGTTTGGACAGAGACATCTGTTAAGGAAGGATCTATTAATGGAGATTCTCTATGTCCTAGTAAGGAGGAGAGGATGAAGATGATAAAATACAGGTAGGATCTGATGAGAAACTGTCAAATGAAATGAAGTCCCATTCAATTACATAATGTAATGTAATGGCAGACCGCTAAAAAGTGACTAGTCTTTAAAGTGCTTATATACAAATGCTAGAAGTCTAAATAATAAGATGGGTGAACTAGCGTGCCTTGTATTAAATGAGGATATTGATATAATAGGCATCAAAGAAACTTGGTGGAATAAGGATAATCAATGGGACACAGTAATACCAGGGTACAAAATATATTGGAAGGACAAAACAGGTCGTGCTGGTGGAGGAGTGGCACTAGATGTGAAAGAAAGGATTTAATCAAATGAAGTAAAAATCTTAAATGAAACAAATAGTACCATAGAATCTCTATAGATAGCAATTCCATGCTTGAATACTAAGAATATAGCAGTAGGAATATATTACTGATCAGCTGA